CCTGATTACAGGCTGTTTCTTATACAGTGGACCCAGTTTCAGTCCTGGAAAGCCAGAGTCCTGCACAGTTTGTTGATTTCACTGGTCAGAGAAAATTCAACTCACTAGTTAATTACCAGGTTTGGGAGAAAATCACCAAACTTTCCACACAGGAGAGTAAATAGGAAAGTAACATACAGAAGTTGTTGAAAATGAAATCCCTGTTTTAATGTTATATTTGGCATGTTAGCTTACAATAAATTTGGCATGTTAGCTTACAATACATAAAGAGTTACTCAATTACTCTGAAATGGTTACAGTATGAACCAGCAGCATTCTGGAAACGTACAGTTAAGCCAACATGCTTATCTATTAACCAAATTCCAGTAGATGCCAAAATGCACATGAAGACTGACTAAGAACAATGAGCTAAAATTTGGTAAGCAATCTGACAAATTTATACTGTTTTTAATCCCTACAATGTTTGCAAGTTAAACTTCACATACATAAAAATGTTACGCGAACTACTGTTACTATTGTTCTTCCAAATTATCCTTTAAAACATTTCAACTGTGGTAACACTGTGCAGTAATAGGCAATTATTAAGCACAAAAAATGCCTTTCATAACAATGGTGTAAGCTTCATAAGCAGGTGGTGCACAGAGTCCTGATCCTGAAGCAGCCAGGGAGGAGATGGGCTGTGTAGAGGGTCATGCTCTACAGAGAAGAAGGCAAGAGAAGAGTCAGCACACAGCCTTGTTGCTGAGTAAGCTGGGGGCCTTTAGAAATGCTGCTGGCATTTAATGAGGCATCTTGTGGAGACTGGCTAATGCTATTGCTAATGCTAATAAATGCTGGTCTCCCTATACTATGCTACACCTTACATATGAAGGAAATGGGCTACTTGCACAAACACTTCTGCGTTATAACCAAAACAAGTACTTCTGCTTCCAGCTCATCCACTATAATAGCAATGGTGCTATTTTACACCCGGTGTCTTTAGGAGCTCCCGAAAATGTAGGTCAACAATCATATATGTAAGAACACTTGCAAAGCTCCTTTTAGTAAGCTGGAGAAAGGCACCAGACTGTATGCTTCATCATACATGAACTATTATGAAGGTAAGAAAATACCTATTAATAGAAACAAACACCCAAGCTAACATTAGCCCAACACTATGACTTTATTGTAAGACTGAAAAAAACCAAACGTTAGACGTTTCACTGTACTGCTGAATGTAAACAGTGCTACCGGAGACATGAGGTTTGCACTTTTTCGAAAACGAAAATACGTCATGGCCCGTCATGGAGTGCAAGTAGCCCATAACATGTGAGGGCATAACATTAATACTTACTTAATGGTTACAATTTGTAATTAGTTTAATCCTCTTGTGGTGTCTCATTTAATTGTAGAACCAGCTGTGCAGCTAGGTTGTCCCGTCCCTCCCATGCTTCAGTTAGCTGCTCTCCAGTCTCCTCATACGGCTCATGAAGCTCTGCTTCTCTTCTTCTTAAGTCCTGTAACGCCTCCTCAGTGAGGTCAAAATGACATCCATGGCGTGTGGCAATGTTGTGAAGTACACAGCATGCCACAAAGAACGCACTGACATTCTTGGGGCTGTACTGTAACGTACCACCTGAGCGGTCCAAACACCTGAAACGCATTTTTAACATTCCAAAAGTTTGCTCAATCACTGACCTGGTCCTGCTCAAAACACTGTTGAAAACATGCTGCTTTCTTGTAGTTGGTGTAACGTATGGTGTAAGCAGCCACGGCTTCAAAGGATAGCCGTCGTCACCTATCAACCACCCATCCAGGCTGCCCCTCTGAAACACTGTAGGAATAACAGAATTGGCCAGGATAAAGGAGTCATGTGAAGATCCTGGATAATTGGCATAAACATGTGTCACCAAGCAGTTTGCATCACACACGACCTGGATGTTAATGGAGTAGACTCCCAATCGATTAACATAACTGAGAGGTTCAGTAGAGGGTGCATGCAGCTGCACGTGTGTGCAGTCTATTGCACCTAAAACCCCAGGTAATCCATATTTAGACATGAAATCTTGCTTAGTTCTGAACTGGCTCTCGGGTGAGGTAGGGAAAACTATATAATCCGCAGCATGACGGACTAAACTGGAAGAAACGACATGTATAGCACAACTGACAGCTGACTGGCTTACACCTGTCACCAAGCCCAAGGTGTTCTGGAATGAACCATTAGCAAAGAAGGCAAGAGCTGCTGTGACTTTCACAGCCACAGGGAGAGCACTGGGGCCTGACGGATTGGCCACATCATCTGCGACTAGCCGGCATATCTCTAAAACCACACCACTGGAGAGGTGCAATTTTTCCTGGCATTCCTCCTCAGTCAAGCCAAGAAAGGAGCTCCAGCGGCGATATACACGCTCCTTGTATCTCCGCCTTCGTAGAAAATAGATGTACTCCATTACTCCTGTAGATAGCAGATAAAAAAAAAACACCTTACACATTTTATTTAGATATTTTCGTTGTAGATTTAAACATCTGACGAAGAATATTCTTACTTATTTCTGTCTTGTTATGCGCTTTTGTGGACGTCCACTTAAGCGTGAGCTCTGTATCTGAAATGGTCACCTACTGCTGATTCCCTTCAAACAGTAAGTGCATTATGGGGGCTCTGCATTGTCTAGGGTTCTCAAAGTGGTGTCTAGAAACCCCCACTGGTCTGTGAAACATAGCTGGCAGGAAACATAGCTGCAGGGTTCCTGTGTTGATACTGAGCTCTGGTTACCATCTGTGTGGAGCATCGTATGTTCTCTTCTTGCCTGTGTGGGTGTCCTCTGGTTTTCTTGCACCTAGTCACATGCTTGTAGGTGTATAGATGACAATAAATCACCCCTACGTGTGAATGTGTGTGGCATGGTGACCTGCGATGGACCGACTTCCCATTCAGGGTGTAATCCCACCCCGGGGCCAGTGTTCCCGGGATAGGCTCTGTGACCCTGACAAGGATAAAGTAGTTACTGATGATGAATGAATGAATGAATGCGTGGCACGAAGGTATGTGTAAGTAGTTCAAATTATAGTGAATAGGATGTGATCTTGGACACGCAAGCAGAGTGTTTATTTTGGCTAAGTCCTCATCTTAATGATAGCAATGGGGATTAGTGTTTAATTAGACATTTCATTAATTCAGTGCATTATATGACTGAACTGCATGTTCAAATTTAATGACAGATAAAATAAACAATATTTAGTTAGTTGACTGTAGTAGTGTGACGGGATTTATTGGTATGAATAATGAATTACTGTAGTGGTTAAAAGTAAACACTCACAAACCAGTGTTTACTCACTCACTATTTAATCTCCTGTTGCTTGGTAACGGAGCAGTGACCGCCTTCATCCACATAAACAAATATTGCGGTTTTCTTCCTCGACTTTATATTGCTGCCTTCTTTAAATTGTAAACCACTAACTGTTTAAAAGAGACCGCTTGGGCTCTGTATCACTGCACAGTTGCTGCTGCAGCCAGTGACTGTCTTCCTGTTCCGGAGCGTCACCATCTCCAAGGAAGCCCATTGGTTGAATATTTTGCGCGTGCTAATTTCTTCGCGTGAACTGTGAACGTTTTTTTTTGTTTGTTTGTTTGTTGTTGTTTTTTTTTTTTAAATCTTGTCCTGGGTTAATTTATGTTTACTCGTGTGTTGAGGTTGTGCTTTTAACTGCACACAGTATCTACATATTAAGAAATGGACTAGCAGTCACGTTTGTTCTCCACAATTATTATTATTATTATTATTATTATTATTATTATTATTATTATTATCCCTCCATCCATTTTCTGTACTGTTTATCTTACACAGGGTTGAGGGGAGCCTATCCCAGGGACAAGGTGGGGGACACCCTGGACGGGTGTCCGCACACACACACACACACACACACACACACACACACACAGACAATTTGGAAATGCCAGTCAGCTTACAATGCATGTCTCTGGACTGGGAAATGAAACCAGAGTACCCGGAGGAAACCCCCAGGGAGAGCATGCAAGCTCTGTGTACACAGGGCAGAAGTGGAAATCGAACCCCCAACCCGAGGCAGGCGTGCTAACCACTAAGTCACCGTACACCACCCCCCCCCCCCCCCCCCCCCCCCCCCCCCCCCCCCCCCCCCCCCCCCCCAATTATTATTATTATGATGATGATGATCCTGAAACATTTTGAGAGCAGATTTTCTTGTAACTTTTAAACAATTTGATCCCCTTGGGAACCTTTCAGTAACCCGGGATGGTTGGGTGAACAATAACAATACCTAATAGCTAATACACGATATAAAAATAGCACCAAAGAATGCTAACATACACTATTTTATACTGGTTAATTAATAACTGATTAAAAATAACTTTGGCTAACTATCTATAATGAACTATGTAGAATATGTAATGTTGGCCAAAGGTATATGAACACCTGACCATCACACCCATATGTGCTTTTTGAACATCCCATTCCAGATTTAGTTCCCCTTTGCTGTTATAATAACCTCTTCTGGTTATTATACAGGCTTTCTTTGGAGTGTGATTGAGGACATTTGTCCATTCAGCCACAAGAGCATTAGTGAGGTCAAACACTGATGTTAGCATTCCAGGCTCTGGACACTCGAGTTCTTCCACTCCAACCTTAACACACCATGTCTTCATGGAGCTCGCTTTGTGCACAGGGGCATTGTCATGCTGGAACAGTTTTGGGCCTCTTAGTTTCAGTGAAGGGGAACTGTAATTCTACAGCATACAAAGATGTTCTAGACAATTATGTGCTTCTAGCTTTGTGATGCATTCCCACCAAAGGCTTCGGATTTCCCCACAACACTACCCACTGCACCACGATGCCGCTGCAGTTTACTGCTACAGATAAAGTTAAATCAATGATAATTTGACTTCTAACATCATGAAATTACATTGAATGTCAGAAGTTAAATGTTTAATTTTCTTTTTCAGGATTTTTTCTTTTTAACAATCTTAACTGTATTGCTATCTAGGGTCCCTGGAGGACTAGTGGTTAGGCCACGGTGCTCTCACAGCTGCGCCCTGGGTTCGATTCCCGGCCAGGGAACCGATCCCAGCCACTGGTGTTGCACACGATAGTGCACTCCCAGTGCCGGTCCCAAGCCTGGATAAAATTGGGAAGGTTGCGTCAGGAAGGGCATCCAGCATTAAACAAATCAAATATGCGGACTGATGATCTGCGACGATATTGTATAACGAGTGTATTGCTATCTAATGTCACTTTCTGAACTTGACACCTTTTTAACAAGCTTATATGCATATTATCCACCGAACATCATCTGCTGAGTATGAAAACAGTAGGCCTTTTAGTAAAATTATTTGCATTTTTATTTTACATATATTTTATCAGCTTTATTTTGTCACTTTTATATTAATTTTTCATGAGCCTCTCTGTGCTGCAAACTCTGCATGATTGGCACAATGTAAAACTAACAAATATTTTAGCAAAATGGGAATCAGCACAATACAAGCTAAGCATCCATAGCCCACATAAAGCATCTTTGTAAATAATATTTATTTTGAACAGTCATTAAGAGGAATAAATTAAAATAAGTTTGAGTGTTTATGGGTTGTGGATTTGCTGTTGAGACCAGTTTAATTGGAATTGATTTGTCTGTCAGCACTAAATTTTTGGCACGGATGGCACTGTATTGTGCCTTGTTCAATAAGCTGTCCAGGCTGAAATGCACTGAACAAACTGTTAAAGTTGGACTGAAATCCTCAAAGAACAAGCTTTAGCCACTTCATTCTGATGACTAGGTACTTCGGGAGATGCAGAAATATTTGGTTCCTAACAGAAACAGCAGGAGTACATTTTCTCACTTCAGCCGCTTTGGTCCGTATGAGCACATTTGTTTATGGTAGTGAAATCAGAACCATTAGGAATTCAAAATGTGCTATTTAAGCACAACTGTATAATCTTTACATTGCACATCAAACTCTTCAAAACCTTATCAAATATGCAGGGACAAGAAAAATTCCATGATAAGGGCCCTTTAAGCAGAAATACACCAAAGTAATTGCTTTTGGGATGGTGAGTAACAATATTGTAGTTGTAAATCACAGTCATCAAGATGGATTTTTTTAATGGACATATTTAAAAAATCATATATTTTGAATCAAATCACCTGATTCACACAAAACATAAATCAAATGAATCCATCACCATAAACTTCAGCCAAAGTCACGCTAACATTAAGCGGAGGTGCAGCAATGCATTTTCTTTAGATTGTGATGCCGTAGATCCATAAACCTAAATGAGGATGTGTACGTTATAAATGATACTGCAATCACAGTTGCTAATAGAGTGACAGCAATTGCCAATAACACCTACTCATTTATTCAAATTCACTTTCATTAAAATAAATGAAGAGAATGAGATGATGATGAGGCGGGTATTCAGAGAAGGCACAGCAGTTTTTGTGCTGCTTATGCTGATGTCTATTTTTCCCTGCCTTCCTTCCTCCATTACCTTCTCCAGTCTGTCAAGATTGTTGACTATGATGAAAGTGATGTCACGTGAAATGGAGTTTATCTGAATCAGAAGATCTGATGATCCACAAGTTTGCATATGAGTCACACAAACAAATAGACAAGGTAGTGGACAAACAATGATGAACACAACATGAACAATCACCCCAGTCTGCTCTTATGAGGTGTGATGTGATGACTAACATGAACTTTGTTGCTGTTTTTTCACTCATGATAGATCTGTACTGAAATAACGAGATTAATTTGGCCTTTTTTTGTTCTGTTCTGCTAAATTTTTTGTCTTTTTTAAGGTCATTTAAACATTTTTAAAACTTCTGCTGTCTGCTGTTCACACTGTACACTGTGTCTAAGCATTCTGCTCTGTTTTGTTGATGACTGACAGTGCATGTACTTCACAGTGTTATGGCCCAGGCTAGACTCCTGTGTTTCCTTTTAAATATACTTTATTGAGAATATTTCAAAAATATTACAAAAATATTGCATTAACCGTTTAGGAATTACAGCCATTTTTTACAGAGTTCCTCCATTTTCACAGGCTCAAAAGTAATGGGACAAACTAATATAATCATAAATATTAGGATTATTTTTATTACTTGGAGGTAAATCCTTTGCAGTCAATGACTACCTGAAGTCTGGACCCCATGGACATCACCAAATGCTGAGTTTC